TTAAAAAAAACAAATAAGCATAGCAGCACATAGTCAAACCATTCCGGCATCACCTTAAAATAAATAATTAGACACGCACTGCATTATGATTACATTAATTCGTAGAAGTCAATGTGGTTATGTACTCGGAACAAGATTTCTACAATAATTGTATTATTCTAATCTTTTTATTGAAAAATTTGTTCGTTCCAAAATTCATACTATACCACTGCACCTCATACGCGTATTGCCAATTTTCAACGTATGGACAAAAATAGATTATTCTTAGAAGACTCCATCGGCAGTTTGGCAGTTAGGTGATTAAATAGTAGATACCGGATAGGGTTTTCCGGATCTAGATTACAAGGAAAAATTTAAAAATAATACTCCCTCCGTTCCAAAAAAAATAGTCCACATTGAATTTTTAAATTTGTATTAAAAACAGTACAAAACTCAAAACCTAAGGTAGTCAATTTTTGTGGAACGGAAGAAGTATAAAACATTAATTTTGGATAGATATATCCATAATATCATTCTCCCAAGACAACGATCCAATTATCCTCTTCCATAATCATTCATTTATTTATTAATTCATTTCTATTTTGGAGAAGCTTCCAGTTCCAGGAATCATAACCAACGGTTTTAGGACTCTTGACATATGGTTGTTGAAAATCTTGATGACTTTATTGTGACCACTTTAAGTTAATTTTTCTATTCGTTTGACGAAAATGAAAAGAATAAGATAAGGTAGAGGTTGCGATTTCTTAAATCATATCCTGGAGTTAATTTATTAGTTTTTCTCTGGTACAGAAATTTAAGTAACTAGCATATACTTCCCCTAATCCTAAATATTAAACATAAATTAAATTAAAATAAGTTTAAATCTTCTATGTCTTATAATCAGAATCAAATTTTAAAATTAGACTTATTATCATTCAATACTTGTGGACTCTTGATTTTTTTTTTATTTATTTATTATTATTTTTTTATTTTATTTTTTTGCATATTGCAGAGTGTCTGCCGTCGGCAACAGTAACTAATCTCACTCGCTCATGATAGGTATGCATCTGGATGGATAGGAGAATTGGCAAAATTATTAAAGGTTGTTCCATGCTCATGACGAGATTTGAACCATCGTCCTATGGTTAAGGGTAGAGGAGTCCTTACCACTCCACTATAATCTCTTTGGTTTAGACTCTTGATTTTTACGTGGAGAACAAAAGTTTTCTAACAATTATTTGTTTATGCAAGCTCAAATTCAATTATTATTGTTATTATTATTATTTTGGAGAAGAATTAACAATTATTTGTTTATGCAAGCTCAAATTCAATTATTATTGTTATTATTATTATTTTGGAGAAGAATAAAAACTTTATCACTTGATTCGGAGCGGTCATGTGATTACATTGGGCCCAAATGGTAGTGTTATATACATTTGAACAAGATGAAGACTGAGAGTCTGTAGATTAAAATAGTTGGGAGTTGTAGAAAAAATTAACCAATACGAATTTATTGGAATGAAGTAGGATATTCCTTTGTAAATGTCAAAGATTCTAAAAGTAGGAGGCACATGTTTGAAGTTAATCATACATGATGTCTACATTATCACATGCTAACTACCGACATGGAGGATTTTCTGTTATATAGCTAGCTAGAGAAGTACAGTACAATAGAAGTTTAAATCAATTTAACCAAAAAAATGATACTAATTGAATAAAGTCGATTAGAGTGATGATGCAAACGGTAAATAGATGTCGGAGAACTAATTAAATCGTAAAATTGATGAGTGAGGATACACATCTTTATTAATTTATAGCTACTTAACTTTATATTTATGTGTAAATGTAATCATAGTATAGGCAATTTATATGGAGAAACACACAATCGATGCTAAACTTATTTTAAAAGTTGTAATGCATGTGTATATAAAAAAGTAATTTTTACATTTTTTTTTTCCAATAAAAGTTTCTTCATTAAGGTAACAAGTTACATAGGTGGAGGTTGTTGAAGGCTCGCTTTAGCTATTTTTACAATTTATTACAATCGGAGGTGAGATGATGTCATTAATTCACGCACATATGCATGTCACGCTGCTCCAATCCAAGATCCTTAAATAAATAAATTGATTTATTAAAAACAAAATGGTAGAGAAAACAAAATGGTATAAGGGATAACAGGGCATGACCTAAAATATTAAAAATGCATCTATAACTTGAAACTCTTTGAAAGGAGGCATTAATTAATCATGATTATGGTAAGGCTTTTTTTTTTTTTTTGGGCACAACTTGGTTAAAGTTATTTTCAACTCATAGAATATTTTTGCCCAATACGCAAGCAACACGCACATCATTTTGTAAATGTGAAAATAAAATCGTGTTTTAAGGGGCACACTAATCAATTTGTAATTGTTTAATCTGATATATTAGACTATATAATAAAGTACTATATGGGGACAGTTAATAAAAAAAAAAATTTTCCATACAACTGAAAGTTGTGGAGGAAAGTGATTAATTTGGTGATGGAAAAAAAATTAAGAAAAAAAAAAGACACAAGTTGGCTGCATGCGAATTAAAAAAATGCTCCAAAACATTCAATTAGCGTAAAAAATTTAGTGAAATGAGAGCCCATGAATGTGATAAAAATGTGAAAAATTTAGTTCATCTATCGACCTGCACTGGTGAGCAATGCCAGTTAAATTAACCAAAACAATTCAACAAATATAGATTTCAGTGACCAAATAGATGTTTCTTCCAAAATATTTGTAAAAAATTAAAAATAATATTTTCAAAAAAATCGCCGACCGCATGATCGGCCAACTGCGAACCCTTTTCTCCTCCTAATTCCGTCGTCGTTGATACATTTCCTTTTTTGGGAGGCCGGAGCGTTGGAGGGTGTACCAATTAACTCTTTTTTTTTTTTTTTTGAAATATTTAGTGTGTGTAATAAAGCAGAAATAATATACATAAAATTTCAAAATAATACTACTATCCTTTGTTTTTGTATATGATCACGATAGATATTAATCGAGAATATGTACAATCCCTAGTGGAAAGATCATAATTTTGTGCCTTTTTTGCTGCATTATTGTTGCCGAGGAAATAAAAGGTAAAAAAAAAAAAAGGAGGATAAATATAGAGTTCAACTGAACAATATCATGCAAAACACACTTTCTTGCCGGAACTAGCTCGAACAAACAGGATTCGGACCAAGAATTCAGGGATCATGACTGCCGCGATGTACATAATAAGTTCAACGATCATACGTTATGCGTTCATTTCAAGAGTAAGATATTCGAACTCGTCTAATATATTTAAATTTATTGTCTTACAAATTTTGTTTTTTCACTCATAACATGGTAAGATCAAACATAAATAGTGAATTAGCAGAAACATTCTGAGACTAATTAAGGAAATATTTTCGTTTTGGAAAAAAAAAACATTTAATATTACACAGTGATACAAAAGTATCTTAGCCTTTAATTTTAATATCAATAACGCACTTCGTCTTCTTATATATTCATAGTTTCAAGATTATTCTTTTCCTAAAACAATGTACGATTTTGTGAATTAGCAGCATATAAATGATTTTTTTAGCTTAATACTACTTCATTAACATTAAGCTATGACAACATGTAAATTGAAGAAAACAAAGATCATTTTGCTTGATTTATTTGTGTGGCTTGTTCAAATTAAAAATTTAGATTTCGTCTAAATTAGACTAGTATTTCAAGAAGACTGAAAATCGTATACACGTAATAGTTAATCCCCAATTTTGCCAATAAAAGAACCATAAAGAGTAGTACTTATTATGATGCCCTCCCATGTGCACCTGAATGTGAGACAACAAAATTCAAATATCAAAACTAAAATCAGCTATATATTTTGTTACATTTAATCACTATTAATACTGGAAATTAATTACGACTATTAGAGTAGTAATAATTAGTAGGTTAATGATTTTGTCAGGACACTTTCTAGCATCTAGGGTAAAAATTTGCATATCTTTCAAATTTACCTTTTCTGAAGTTAAAAGGCATTTTATCCTCTCCCTTCTCCGGTCAGTTAATTGATTAATCTCTCTCTCTCCCTCTCTCTTTTCTTACGGCGTTGTTTTTCTCCGGCTCAACTGGTGAACGAGGCAAAATTTATTCTAGAGTTTTATGTTACAAGCAAGGATATATTGCAAGTGAGGGTTTTAGGGTGGTGTTTGTGAAGTCATAGGGCAGCAGTATAATAGTCCTTCTTATCAGATTTGTCGCAGTGAGACGTTGAGATATTGATTTTTCAGAAGAAAAAAGAATTACCAATACTGATTATAAGGTCGTCAGTACTTATGCTAAAGTTAATTGTAATCGTATGTAATTCCGAAAGCATGCTCCTAACCCGAAGGACGATGATATAACTCCAGTTTTCATTGATAGTGCACTGTCCGTCCCCTCAAAAAAGCAGAGTATTCATTTGATTTGCCTGACATCTGGTTTAACTTAGTCTATTTGTTGTTGTATACTGGTAACCATTTTATGATCACAAAGAAAATTTTTTGTGGGAGAGATATCAAATTATTTAGGAGGAGAAAGGATATTAAAGAGAAACACAAAGAAAATTTTTTGTGGGAGAGATATCAAATTATTTAGGAGGAGAAAGGATATTAAAGAGAAACGTGAAGATAATACCGAGATTAGGAGAGAAGATAAATGCCGTTTGACTTCGTAGTGGGTAAATTTGGAAGATAGACAAATTTTTACCCTGGATGCTTGAAAGTATCCTGACAAAATCACTAACCTAATTAGTATTACCAACTTAATCTAGAAAAAAAAACTTTTCTTTTTGAGGTGACAAACAGAATATCCGGTTTAACTTTAACTCCGTCAAATCTAATCTGTTTTTTTTTTCTTACGCCCATCGTCAAATCCAACAACTAATCAAACTTGGCTTCCCCCACTCCCTTTGTGTTTTTCACCAGCTCACGGGGCTCAATCCCAGCCGTCCGTAAAAGCTTCAAAAAAGAAAAAAGTGGAAAAAAAAAAACACGCACTCACACAGTAAACGCCTTTCCTTTAAAAACGTGCTACCCCCCAAGGGAGGTATATATATATAGGTTTCTTTTGATCAGATTAGCTTCAAGGTAGTTCTGTAAACCTCTATAATTCAGCTTTCCTCTTTCTCTGTATCTAGAGAGAAAACCCCTTTTCGCCCCGTGCTTTCTGTATTCTCCCTTAGAGGCTGCTGGTTTCGGCCTCACCTTTTGCTGGTAAGCTTTCCTCGTTCCTTTCGATTTGTTGCATTTTTGTTGTCCATATTTGTGCAAGATTCAATATTTGATTTTTTTTGCCAAACTTCTTGGGTGGTTATGTCTCATCAATGTAATTTTTCGTTTGGGATTATTGCACAGGCGAGTTTTTCTTGACCGGATTGAAACTTCAAATATGCTTTCTTTTCATTTATTTTTTCTGGGTTTCTTGTTTGGGTGTTGTGCTGTAGTCCCGTTTAAATTTTCAGAGCTTAAATGAAAGGGTAGTCTTGAATTTATTTTTACTTTTTTTTTTAATGTTGTTTCAGGAGCTACATATATTTTAGGATTTAATAGAAATGGATGGGATAAAGCAGTTTGAAAAGAAGAATAAGGATATTCTATTTAAATTTGAGGTTGACTTTGATCACAGTTATTTTGATCCTCCTTTTACTGCGGCAGGATTTGGTGGAATGTTTACTGTGGTATTGATATTGTTGAGATTCATGACTTTGATGGATTTTGAAATTAAAAGAATGGAATTTTGGACTTTGCATACTATTGGGCTACATGACATTTGCCTTCTCGAAAGAAATTATTAGTTGTTATTGCTGCTTTCATGAGTGATAAAATATTGTGAATATTTTTCTTCTTTTTTTCATTGAGATATGATTTTTATACTAATGGTATGTTGTATTGCTGTCTGGAATTGCGGTTTGTAATTTGCAAGGTTAAAGATGGTTTTGATGGTATATTGTAGTGAAGCCTAGGCGGGCAGTCTAGCGGTTTGCTTCCTCTAGCTGGTCGTTTTGGTGCAAGTTCCAGTAAATGGGCTGTTTTCAGTCTAAGGCTAGGAGACAGTTTCCTGGTTATGAAGACCCTATTACTCTTGCTTCCCAAACAGCTTGTAAGTTATTGATCTCTTTCATGCCGAATACAAACTTGCAGTAACTTTTTTTTTTTGGTTCTTGTTTGGTAGCTTTCTTTGATCACTAATGGCTGGAGATAATAACATGATCCTTGTCTTTCTCAGTCAAACCTGTGTATCTTTAGTTCTTTTACTGAATGTGTCTGAGATTCATACTCTTCTCTTTGTCATTGCAGTTACTGTTAGTGAAGTTGAAGCTTTATTTGAACTATTCAAAAGCCTTAGCAGTTCATTGATTGATGATGGGTTGATAAGCAAGGTAATTTTCTTGTGGGGCTTTTCCAAAATAATTTTGTAATTCAACATGGCCAACCATCAAGTGATTTGGATGTTATCTTGCAATCTTGAGTGTTGTCCTAGCTATGCCTGTCTTCTGTGCTTGTAGTTATTGCGGAAGTATGATAATAAACATCTGATTGTATTAGCAATGAAACTTCATGTTGGATATGCAGGAAGAATTTCAACTGGCTTTGTTCAAGAACAGAAAGAAAGAAAATCTCTTTGCTAATCGAGTAAGTCAAACTTCCAGAAAGTTCAGATGAAACTTTTTATCAATTTTTCATTTAGTTTTCAGAAATGCGGTGCTGTTGTTTCAAGATTCTTTCTTAGGAAGAAACTTCAGCATATATTTGAATCAATACAAGTGAAATGAGTATGAGAACTTGCAGATTATCAACACTATGCTTTTTTAGAAATTTTGTCCGTTAACCTCTCTTGCAGTAAACTAAAGTTTTTACCCTCTTTATGCTGATGCTCTAAGGTGTTTTGATTTGCAGATATTTGATCTGTTTGATGTGAAACATAAAGGTGTTATTGATTTTGGAGACTTTGTCAGGGCACTTAATGTTTTCCACCCAAATGCTGCACGGGAGGATAAGATTAATTGTAAGTTAAAACACTGCTAATGTGGATGCTTGTATGGATTTGTTCTCCAAGATTGCAGAAATACTCTTTCAATGGACTTCTTCTAAGTTCTGTTTGATTATGATGCAGTTTCATTTAAGCTTTTTGATTTGGATGACACGGGATACATTGAGCGGCAAGAGGTTTGTTTCATAATTATATTGAAAATGTGAATAATCGTCTCTGCATAAAGAAAATCATGATCTTAGTTATAGTCTTTAAGCAGGCTTCTTTATAGTCTGTGAATTTTGCAGGTTAAGCAAATGTTGATTGCTCACTTATGTGAATCCGAGATGAAGTTGGCTGATGAGACTATTGAAATTATTGTGGATAAGGTTAGTCATTTGGCTAGTTTAATTTTTTTCCTGTGCTTCTTGTCTTCACTTGTGCATTAGGGTTGGCTAGGTACAGATGGTTAGATCTGCTATGGAGATGAGAAGTACCCCTGTTTTACATTTAAGGATTTTTTGGTGGTAGACTTTGAAATCTTAGTGAATATTAATGTAATATGATACTTGCACATACATGTTCTGTTGGAAGAAAAATGATGGTGTGGGGCAGCCGGCGGACCACTTATCATTGCATTCACTTACTGGAGCTTTTTTGGATCTGAACTTACCTTTCAAACTTCCTTTTGAAACTTGCCTAGTTTTTTAATTATCTCTTTTCTTTGATGGGGTTCTTAAATTTCTATCCATCTCCAATATGTTTCTGCTATGTGTGGTTTCTCTTCCTTGCTTGTCATTTGTGAGTTTATCATGTTTGTACTATGGAACTCATTGTTCATCTAATTTCATGGCAGACTTTTGTGGATGCGGATACTGACAGTGATGGTAAGATAGACAAATCTGAATGGCACACTTATGTGACCAAAAACCCTTCACTGCTTAAGATCATGACGCTCCCTTATTTAAGGTATTCATTTTCATCCTTCTTCTACCTAGAAAAGTAAGAGAAATCATTGACACAGGTTATTGATTTTGTTTTTTCTTTCTTTTGGCTGTAAATGCAGGGACATTACTACCACATTTCCCAGTTTTGTGTTTAATTCTGAGGTTGACGAGATTGCCACCTAGATGTAGAAGGAAGTCATTAAAGTAAAATTCATGTTCCTTGTTGGCTAGTTATTTTTTAGATGCAAGTCATTAGGGGCAGCCATTCACATTGTAGAGAAGAGGGCTTATTTGATTAATGCTGTGTTTAATAGATTTGATTAATGCTGTGTATGTTTAGTCAGGAGGGTTTTGGGACTTTGGTATTGTTCATCTTTGCTCTCTAATTGTACAGTGTGTTCTGAATGGCATTTTGTAGTCTGATTTTAACCCTTCCACTCTAATTAGTTTTTCTTTGTTTTGTACATTTTTGCCTAACTTAAGTTCATGCCGGTGTTCTCTGTGGCCAAAGAATTGCTTGTGCTAACCCAAAGTAAACAAAAGCAGCTAGAGGGTATTACTGTAAACTTGGTTGATTTGTTTCATGAAAAGTAGAGACCGGGGAGAGACTGTGCTTGTTAGAATTACATCTGAATGTGAATGGAATTATTCAATGGTGCAAGTGCAACACTCAAGCGACCTCCAGATTAAGCAAACGATGCCCTAAAACTAAATGCCTGCCAAATAGAATTATAATGACATATAGTTTCCATTGCCCTTTATACTGATTAAGGAATCAAGCCTCAAGCAACTCTCTACAAAATGATGGAAGAAGTCAAGAAGCCATGGTTTGGGTATGAATTGATCCCTTCTGTTAATTTAGTTTACTACTGTGCAGAGAGTAATTATTATATTACATCAGAAAATTAATTAACTCTTCTACAAATTATGCACTGGATGTAAAATATAACCCTATCTAACTGTACAAAAGCTATACATCAGGGACTAAATGGAGAAACCATCCATCAGATCATTTAAAAAAGAATGATAAACTTCCTCTATGATCTATGTTCTGTAAATAAGCAGACGCCACATTTTCATGATAATTTTTCAAACTCAAAACTGCTGAAAAGAAAAAATGAAAAATGAATTTGAGCGGAGCTGTTTGTGTGTTAGGGCTAATTAATTATATAATCTGAAATGGAATGAGGGTCTGCTTTTTTTCACGTGAAGGTAATTTATATACTCTGAAAGTGGCAATCTTTTTGTCTGCTTTCTTATCAGAGAGGCCCTTTCCATTGAGGAACAATTCTATTCATCTGGAGCAATTCTATTTCTTGAAAATTTTTAACATATACTGATATGGATCCGTTATATGTCTGTTGTGCTTTGGATAAAAAATTTTCCTTCAAGGTATTGAATTTTTTCTACATGTCACCTCACTTTCGCACCTCACTTTCGCATCCAAAGTGCATCTTTTGTGGCTCCGTTCTGTGTGTTTGCTAGCTCTGTATTTCTTCTTTTTGGGCATAACTTATAGATGCATAGATTGCTGTAAGAGTATGATGTATGCTTGTCATTCTTCTCTAAAAGTCTGACCACCTTTTTGAGTTTCTGTTACAAAAGCGCCAGTTTGTTGGACAGATTGAAGTCATTAGCATGCCAATTTAATCAAAATTTTGTTTTTCTTCTTGTTTTGCATTGCAGTAGTACTCATTGTTTGGTTCTCTGTTGATCTTTGGTGCAATGATTGGCGCAATTACAAGTGGTCCAATTGTTGATTTCATCGGCCTGAAAGGGGTAAGAAAGATTCACCGAACTAATTTCAGAATCAGTGTTCTGTCAACTAAATTTTGAACTGATTGAATCTCCTTGCAAATACATCTTTTTGTTTGATTTCTTTTCGTGACCCTTTGCTTTGTTTCTTAAGGTAATTTTCAGTTTTTACGGAATGAAAAACGGAGTTTTATTCAATCCTAAAAATGATTTTGAAGTTGGAATCACAATTCTGAAAATTTCAGAATCAGTTTTCTGTCAACTGAATTTTGAACTGATCGAGTCGCCTTGCAAATACACCTTTTTGTTTGATTTCTTTTCGTGACCTTTTGCTTTGTTTCTTAAGGTGATTGTCAGTTTTTACGGATCCTAAAACGGAGTTGTGGTTGGTTCTGAAATCGCATTTAAAGTTGACAATTGAAAATGATTTTCTGCGAAGTCTAGAAATTCAGTTTCAAAGGCTTGTTTCTCCTATTTTTTGAATCCTTTTCCGAGATTTCTTCATATTAATCTCTTCTATGTTTCATCTAGTTTAATGTGATTTTTACGGATTGGTAACTGGACTCCCGGTTTGTTCGGAAATCGAATTTGAACATGACATTATCGTTGCTGAAAAATGCAGGAAATTTCAGAATAGTTTCCTTCTGTTGTGAGGCCTTTTTCTCCTAGGTCTTGAAATATTTTTCGGATTTTCTTTTCATGAAACTGTTTTTCATTCAGTGTACTTTGTTGTGGTTTTTACGGAATATCAAATGGAATGGACTTACGATTTGTCCAGGAATCAAGTTCGAACTTGACTCATCAGTTCTGAAATTTTCTGTCGAAAAAAATCTGGTTTGAGCTACTGTTTTGAGAGGCTCGTTTCGATTTACTTTTGGATCTTTTTCTCTGAATTATTTTGATAAAACCCCTATGTGTTTATTGAGGGTTCAATGCTGTTTTGATCGGTTGCTGAAACAATGAATGAGTTGTGCAAAAATGAATTTTGAAAACGGCCACTTAGTCACCTCAGTTCTGAAAATTCAGAAAAGAGATTTGAAAGGCTAAATTTTGAAGTCTCTGTCCTTTGATTCTGAACCCTTTTCTAATGCAACTTGCACACTTTATTTTCTGTATTAGTGCTGCATTTTATTGATGGAAGTTAAATGCTTACATTAGCTGGTCTTGATTAGATTTCTGCTTCTATGTAGGGTTAGTGATGTCGACGACTGGATTTACCATGGACACTGGTACTCAAACTGCTCAAAGTGGAAATTTGGATATGTCTGAAACTTTAAGAGGGACTCAAGATGAAGTTGAATAAACGTTATTGGTGATAGCTCTGTCTTTGTGTTTTCTTTCTGTTTCCTTTTATAAAGTGAAGTTTTATAATCATTCTGATATGGTGAAGTGCACGATTAAGAACTTTTTTGGTACTTTGAGGTTCTTTAACTTATTCACTCGTACGATTAGTAATATGCTTGTTTAGTTAAGTATAATATCACAAGACATAAGTGTCTTGAATCTAAGAAAATAATTCTCCATCTAAATTAAATCAACTAATAATTTGCGTTCAAAAAAAATTATATTGAAGCCAACTATTTTTTCCATTCATTTCAAGATAAGAGAGAGAATATATAAGAGAGAGTGTGTGCATGGGGCCTTTAATTAAGTTACAAATAAATCAAAAAATTGGGGATTTGTTTCGTTTCATTACTATTTATTTTTAATTATTTATAAAACTAAAATTTGTACTTAGAAGCATAAATTTTGGTTTCATAAATTAATGAATTACTCCTCTCATTTTTTTGTTTGGTTTAGTTTAATTAAATTGATGATTGTTAAAAAAAATAAAAAATAAAGTGATCTTTTCGGGATAATAAGATAAGTGATGACATTATAAAAGTCATTATTATAATAAAATATACCAAAAAGAAGGGCAAAATAATTGGGAAGATATTAGGAAAAAGTTTTTAAAAAATAAAAGAAATTCAAACGGGTCAAAACAGTTCAATTCAGTCTTGATCTGAAAAAAATTTGAAACTGAACCGAACCGAACCGACACTATCTAGATTGTTTGGGGCGCGAGTAATTGAGGTTCAACCTTCTTCAACTTGCAGAGTCTCGCAAATCCGAGGACTGCCGATATTAAGTTTGGTGTAAATCGAGCAAGGGGAATCTTATAATATTGAACTATATCTCCAAACAGAGGAAAAGGGGAAATCTTAGCCCTAAAAACATAAACCTATCATATACAGTTATTTTTCCCCCTGGAGGAGTAGTAGCCCTTTCTATGCCTAAAGGTGCTCGATATTCTAGATCTACTGGGAAATTGTTCTTTTCGGCTATTGCATTGGCTTTATCGGCAAAGTTTATGATGGATGCAAAGTCGGAAACTGTTTTTGCAGCCATATCTACCACAATATATGCAAATATAACAAAATTCAGGCAAAAGAAAGGCAGATTCTAAAAATACAAGAGAGTTGGAGGACTTACTTCTATCAGAGTTTGGGGTGTCCTTCTGGATTCTGTTTACCCAATGCGGTGAATCTCTTCTGTTAACGGTAGTTACAGGAATCTCCGGCGATAGGGAAGGGTTTTTGTCTGGAGCGGTAGTGGGTAATATACAGGGGCAGAAAGTTTTGTTTTTTTAAAATTAGAATTTGAGAAGAGGGGAATGACAAGAGTCTCTGGACTTTTCCCAATATAAAAAAAAAACTTCTCTCTCCCACATCTCGACAATTTGGACGGGATTCAAGGAAGGGTAATGATGACGGAGCCCTCGTTTGGGGGAACGTGCCCACTTACTACACGTGGTCAAATTTTTTGAGCGGGATTCCGGATCGGATCATCTTCCGGGTGACTTTGTTTCAGATGATCATTTAAAGTTGAAATTCTGAGCACTTTTGCTTTATGATGCAATTCAACTACGATGATTCATGCTAATCCTGGGACTTCTTTTAGACATTTGTTTAACCTCATAAATTTCAATCCTGACATGTGTATGTTCTCGGTTCTCCACAACTGACATTTGTTTAATCTCAAAATTGGGATTATCGTGAATCCCAGGAGATGGGTGTTATAGTTGATGTCTGGTCTAAATCTGACAAGGTCAGGATCGAGCAATATAGGGATGGCATTACTACTCTGTAATCCTTCAAAAATTATCTCAATTGGACAAAAGTGCAGCAGTACATTCTCCCAATTCCTATTAAGGATAAAAAAGGTACTAACTCCTCTTGCGTATTCCTTTTGTTCTAGACTATGTCGTCGAGCAAGAACACCATTGGCTTGTTTGGTGATTCCAAGATTTTTGACATTAAAAATTTAGATGATGAAGGATCTTCAAGCAAGGTTAGCAAGAAGAGGAAGTTGAGGAGACTAGTGAAAGTGTTATAAGCAGGCGCTAAGTCAAAAAGAAAAAGCAGGCTCCTCCAGTCGAGAAAGAAGAGCTGGTCGAGGAAGTTAAACCCGTCGAAGAAGACAAGACCGTCGAGGAGGATAAGCCTGTCGAGCAGGGTAATCCTATCGAGGGCCATGTCCCTCCAGAGAAAGATAAGAATCCGGAAGCAGAACGAGACCCAAGTTGGTTTACAACATTTCCGCCTTCGCTATCTCGGAAGAAGGGTGCTGCTGAACGGACGCCTCTCCAGGGTCATCATCATACACTGCAGCCACCGCCATAGTCCACTTTGGGGATGATAGAATTGAATGCCCCCTAATAGAAGAGGTAGCCGAAACGATGATTGATGAAGAAGCCTTGAAAATGATAAATGTTACCAACACAAATGTTTTCCGCATTCACTGATTGTAACTAGTATTTCAATTTATACTCATCTCTTGCTTGCAATCTCGACAGCTAAACACCTCCTTGGCGAGCATCCTTATGCGCAAAAAGAAACTAAGGGAGGAAATCTCTAATTTAGAGCTCGAGAAGAGGTTTCTCGAGCATGAGAAGGCAATCCACAAGGAGGCAAAGAAGAAGGAGCAGTTAATGCAAGCTGCCAAGGAGGGAGAGCTGGCCACTGGCCAGGCCATGTATAAGGAACTCGAGGCCTAACTAAAAAATAATAGGGAAACCCATATACCCAAAACAGAGTTGCAGAAATGGATGACTGCATTTTGGGCCAGAATGATACCCATTGGAGGGATGGCCAATGTCATGGTGGCATCAGTGAAGCATTTATTGCACTAGGCGGACATGGTATGGCTGTAGCCGCTCTCGAAAGGATGGAATCTGGAAAGCCTGTCACTGCCAGCTGGCTACAACAATTCGTGAAACTGCATCCTCGCAAAACCCTGCATGAAGCTATGAAGAATTGGTTGATGCATCTTGGCACTAAACAACTCCCTTTCTTCGGGCCTTTGTGTAGCGCCATCCCCAAATGGGTTCACCCTCAGAATTCACCTCCTTTGAAGGAGATGCCCCAACGGTGTTACTTGCTAAGCTTGGGGAAGAGATGCTGGTACCCGAGCTT